AATTACGACTTCCTTAGGGGTCGCGATTCTCAGGTTGAGAAATGATGGCCTAACTAATATAAAGTCGGATTGAATACAACGTTAACAAGCTGAAATTCAGTGACAGTGCTCGTGCAAATGGACTCAGGGAAATGGATGAATAGTAGAAATTAAACTATAAATTAATTTAAATACCCTCATAACCCAATAAAGTTGTATGGGAAGTATAAAAATAATATTTTAATCAATTTCATTGATTAATAAAATATTAATATTAATTAATTAAAATATTAATATTATTAATTAAATATTAATTGATTTATAAAAGTCAGTTATTCAGTTTTGCCATAGGTTTCATAAATATAATTCCAAAAAGAGACTGTACAAAAGACGACTGCTTGGATACCTCTGTCCCATTTGTGTTTCTACCGTGAAGCAATTGTGTTTGCATGGTTGTGTTTCGGTTTGAAGAATGGGATATGGCGTGAATTTACAGGGTACAGAGGAAAAACATCTGAGCCCTCAGGAATGGCAACGCATGGAGGGTATCAGTATACTCTGTTATGTTCATGGTACTGCTGATGTCTATAGGCGACGGTTACCACTTTCCATCAGGTAGGCCGTCAGCTTGTTTGGCATTCTAAGTTGTATAAAAAAATATAATTCGAATTTGGCTTGTTACATTACATGCAGTAGACCATCATCATAATTAAATCATCAACTAATGAAAACAGACGAAAGATCTGTGTTTATATAGCAAGATCTGTTATGTGTTTTTAGAGCTGTGCACAATAAAAAATAACAATTGCTAGTAACATTAATATTGGTGGGTAATCGTATTACTTATGTGTTAAAAGGAATCTTATTGAAAAGGCTTGTGTACTCAGATGATTAAACAATTCATCTTTGATATTTCGTTTTTGTCGGAGTAGCAAAATATTTTCCGTGCTAAAAGATTTCGAATTAAATATATACGATGGTAGCGATTTATATGTATACATTTTTACCATCACCACCATCATTATTATATCAGTCGTTTACTGCCCGCTGTTGAACATAGGCCTCCCCCATAAGAGGTGGGGGGGTTACCAATAGTTAACACGCTTGGCAGATACAATCACCACCATCACTTTCCATTAATGTCAGAGGGAAAGGATTATTAGTAATCGAGATTAGATTAACCCCAGCTATATATCTATATAGGATAACAATATAGTATATATTGCTAGCAATATAGGTTAGGTCCATTTCCACGCAGTTTCTGGAAACCAACGTGCTTAATTCTCGATGCATTCGATTCGTCACGATGGTCGTTTTTATTCTTACCTATCACTCCTTGTTAGTATCTTGCTAGTGTAAATCAATAACGCAGGTGAGTTTACTATTCCATTTTCATCCATTAAAAAACCTAAGTTCCGCAATTAAGCATGGTGATCTTCCCATAAGAGAACAATATTAGACTAGTATGGCCAGGGATTGAGGCGTAGGTTTTATACTTGCATATTAAGATATTAGTTCCTTCAATAATTATCGAGGTTTTGTCTTTTGCAATGTTGTTTATGATCTTCTTTGAGTTACCTTTTTCTAAATCTTGGAAATGGAATGAACAGTTTTGCTTTTAATATAGTATTGCAGGTTCTATCATAGTATCGGAGATAATATTTTTTGGAAGAACCGAAATTGTCACAGCTCAGTGGTCCAATACCAAAATTCTTAAGATGAAAGCCGTGTTTTCGATTCTTGTGATACCGAATAATGATATACATGCCAATTTAAATTTCCGAAACTGACTCCACTCCGGCGAAGCAGTGGTACGCGTTCGCAAATTCACTTACCTCGGAAGCACCGTATCGGAAATGGGAGGAACGAATGAATGGAAATTATTTCACGGATCGTGAAAAGCGCGTTCCTTCGCATAACAAGAGCTGTCTACATAGTAGTTACTAAAGCAAATTGCAAAGAGATTACCTTAAAATTTGGGTCGGAAAGGTGTAAGGTCATTTTGTTAATCTAGATACTCAACAAACAATGTCTTCACTAAATTACAGGGTCTAGTGCTTTGAGAAAATCAATGACAAATCTCTGTTAGAATTGCCTCGTAATTCTGATCGACTAGCAGAATAAGCGCTGCAAATGGAAATTGAATATTCGTAGGCATTCCAATTGTTTTTTTAAACAGGCTTTTGAATGGGGTTTTTGCTAAAAGCTCAAATTTTATTCCACCTTTGTGAAGAATTGTTGAAATAGGCCTCCAAGAGTTTTCATAACAATTCATTAACACAGTTGGGGTGGGTCTCTCTCTACAAAAAAAAAAATTATTACCATGCTAGCTAGATTAAATGCTTTCTGCATAGGATTATTTCTTGTTTTTTCTTCTTGTTTTTCTAATTGCTCTTATGACATTCTGGAAAAGAAATTGAGTATATTTTATTATTGTGATAGTACTTTGGTTTTAGTATTGGTTTAATAAGAATTGATGTTTCTATTATAATGGTACTTTTTATAATTGGGGCCAATATGACTGAAATATAATGCGTCTGCAGCTGAGATGATTTGTAACCTTTTTCTAAATTCGATGCAATTTGACCATTTAGCAACTACCCATAAATAAATTTATAAATCTTTTCATTACAACAGTAATAAAAGGCTTAACTACATTTAATGTCACTCTTGTAGGTTTTAAATTTATTTTAAGTATACCATATGTTACACATGTTTATATTCGCCGATTCGAAATCGGATATTTTTAAATTTGATTGAGACTTTTAAATGAATATTTTTCTCTATTTTGATAATCTTTTGATAATCCGTTGTCGTATAAACTCTGGTAAACGGTCACCTTTGTATAGACTTGTTAATTCATATAACGCTTATTTAAATGATGTTGATATTATTAATGAACACGCCGGTACTTTTAAAAACTAATCTCTGAAAGATTCGCATAATTTTACTGTTTTTTTTTTAATGTTTAGTCTATTTATATAATATTTGAAACGAAACGGTGTTGGTGGCGACTCAGTATTTTCTTTTATTAATGTTTTGTATTATTCTTTATTTTGCCATCGTTAGTGCACCCAAATAAATAAAAAAATAAAAATCTTTTTAGACCCTTGATGTTTTTATATTAATTTCATTGCGGTTAAATTCGGTTTCTTTTTTTTTATTATTTGAATTTTAGGCGTAAAGTTTACCGTCGACACAGACAGAGCACCGACATATTTTAGAAGTTTCTTTTTGCGTTAATAAATCAGGACAATGAAATTATAAAATTAAAAACCAATAAAGAGGCAAAACTTTGTTAGTTAAATCTTTGTTTGGCAGCGTTAATTTTATTTAAAATATTTTGTTTGTCGTTGTTCCATTAGAAGTCACTTACTAAAATTTATGCCAACAAGCGGAAAACTTGTGGCCTTAACTCTGAGTTAAATGAGATTCAAAATAACGAGAAATTTCATTATTATGTAAAATAATGAAACGAAATTATGAACGCGTACTTCGTTATTTGAGTACTTCCACGTTTGGTAGCTTTAATAATCTTATCTACAGATATAGTTCAGTGCGATATTTACACTTTAGTAATAAAGCGTTTACTTAATTTAATAAGCTTATCTGTATAATTTTTATTAATATTTTAGGATTCAAAAATTGACGTATGTATTTAAAAGACTTAGATCTATTGCTGATCTCAAATTACTTAGAAGTACCTGCTTTGCCTTATGCCAATGTTTAATAACTTATTGCAAAACGGGTTGAAGTGGTACGTTTAAGAGATATATTTTGCGAGTGGAAAGAGCTCAAAGAGATACACTTAATGTGATACAGTTTAAGCCGTACTATTGGTATATAGGTATAGGTTTCTTCAGGGTCGGCAACGCGCGCGTAATAACTCTGGTATCGCAGGTGTTCATAGGCTACGGTAACCACTTAACATCAGGTGGGCCGTATGCTTGTTTGCCACCTCAGTGGTATAGAAAAAAGCTTCTTTTTATATTTGTTGACGAAACTTAAGATGTGCTACCGTAATAGCTACAATTCAAATCAGACTCTCACTATAAATTTATTCTCCATAGAATTTTGGTAAGAAAAACCGAATGGCCGTGGGCATCTTGCAGAACTATCTACTGGATAACAAGATTTGGTCCCTCACAATCGCGCCATTACCTACGCTCTAGGGAATCCAATTCACTATATTGTCTGCGCTGTTTCTTTATTTCACTGATTCGCTTTGTACAACTGGCTCTTTTGCTTTATTTGCGACATTGTCGTATGTCGTATATTATCATTATGTAGTTGATTTTTGCCATTTATTTATATTAAATAAAGTATTAAATGCTGTGAATTTGGAAAGAGCACTTATTTGAGAAGGATTGGAACGACTTGGTAATTTTAATCAGTCGTAATAGTCCGATACTGTCAGATCGAATTATCGAGAGATTATATTTTCCATCCGTAATTGGAATAAAATAAAATATTTCAGTTCAATTAAGGTTTTTATGAAGAGAAAATAAAATTTGAATTTAGATAGGGCAAGGTCTATCGTGTCAGCTAGTTGAGGATAATAATTGTTTGTTTTTCGTTTTCGTAATGGAATATCCTAGTTATTTTCAACAATTTCACTCAGGATTTATTGAAAGAAGTCATTTAAATATTACATTTTTTATGCTTAATTTAAAAGTTAGATAATCTGTCTGTGTTCGGTGGCTACGTACGTATTTATTACAAACAGTTTAATTGATTGTTGTAAGATTTCAATTCAGAGAAAATTTATAGTAATGCTGAAAGTAAATTCTTTTATTTAAAGATCTTTATAAAAAATAACTTTGAATTCAGAATCTATATGTTTTGTTTTTTAATTGATATTTGACATAAACAATGTAAACTGTTTTATTTTGCAAAAACATGACATTTAAATTTAACTACTAAAAAAACTGAATGTAGAATTATTAAATCAGGTCATAAATAACGATATCGCGATTTATATCTTTTTTTTGTAATTCCGTTCACCAATATTATTATTTCAGACGTTTATATTATTGCTGAACCTAATCCTGATTAATGATTTCTGAAGAGAAAGGTCATGGAGCAATCTTGTGCATCCAATAACTTCCAGCGATACATTTAAGGTATTCGCCTTATCTAGTAGGTGAACCTAAATTACTCGTCAGTAGTCAGTTCTTCGAGTTATATAGATGGCCCAGTGGCACTTTAATTTGTAGATCTTTCGGAATTTATCGGTTTAATCATTTAGTCAGGGGGAAGGAATTGTTAGTAATGGGAACTAGCAGCCCTACTGCTAGCAGTATTCCCTGGCACGTTGACTTCTATACACGGTCTCTCCATGGAAACTATCGTGGTAAATTTTTGATGAATTTATCATGATGGGCCAAGGGACTTGCTTTCAACCTCACCTATCAGCCGTCACTAGTACTCCATCAGCATAATTATGTCGATTCATTATTAAAAAAAAAAAAACCACGCAGTCAGACGAAGTTCTAAACCTACTTCACTATTTCTGAGATTGGAAGGTAAAATTTGTTAAATTTATAATTTAATGAAAAACTTTCCCGAATTTTGATGAGAAAAATGGGATCATCTAAAATTATCTTCCATTAATGGAACAAATAACAAGTTATTACACAATACCCAATTAAGGGGTCGTCTTTATCTTAAATTTAACTTAATCGCTTACAGATTGGCGAGCCTTATGAAGCGTGGTGATCAGGCTTTGCTTCCAGGTATGATGGAAGCTTAATGGGCAATAAACGAAATCTCGGGGAGCAAATTTCATTAGGGGCCATTGTTGAAGGAAAGCCACGACCGCAACAAATTGGCTGACAAACAGTGTCGCTTCGCTGAGCAACGCTGGCCGGAATGTACTTTCGTATCTTCTATCGCTTTGTGTATAAATTGCTACAGGTTTTAGTTTTAGTAGATGTTTCTGAAACTTTCAAAAGGAAGGTTTTCTCAATTCGTTTATATTTATTATTATAATCGTTACTTGAATATATAGCCAATTTTGAACAAAATTTGTTTTTTTTTATTACAATAGGATCTACGCAGTAGTAGATCCTATGTGACGAGTACTTTGTGACGATTGATAACGTCATTTTTCTTTGCGGAGCAAAAAACTGTTTGTTGTGACGCTAAACCTACTTTAGTGTTTATTATTCCCGTAGCTTATTTTGTTCTGATAATATCTTTATTTATTACAGAACATTTTATAAATATTTAACTGATGTATTTTAATTAATTAAAGAATTGAATAGAATTTATAAATTCAAATTACAGATTTGATAAGTATTATTTATAAATATTATTTAAACATTTTATTTATAATAATATTTATAAATTTAATGATTTTATTATTTAATAATATTTAAAGTTTATCATTTTTTTATAATTATAATACAGTAATAGGTATGACGTTAGAAAATACGCTTTATAGCGGCTTTTACTTTCACCCTTCAGCCTCGAAAGCTTTCAATGAGATGAAATTTTGTGTTGCTAACAGGTTTTACAATACATGGGTATGTACACGTTTATGTACCCATATAGCTATAACATTATATTATTATTACATACTTCATTAGCTAATAACAAAAAATTATATTATTATTACGTGTGTGTATAATTATTATTACTATAATTATAATAATAAAAATATAATAATTATTAATTTGGGTAAGCAGTTTTATTAAAAAATATAAAAACCGTCTATGAATAAAACTCACAGCATTAATTTTTTAATATCAAGAAATCGATCACGTCGCTCACCGACAGTTCCATACAAAATATTTTTAAACATTTTTTTATGGAACGAAAACCAACAGCTATAAAGTTTCACTGTAAAAAACAATAGTAAAGATAAAAAGACAATTACAGGCTTTCAGAAACAAAACAAGATAAAAAACATCGCAAATATAATGAAAAAGAAAGGAAATTATCAAAAAACATTTTTTATTTGTCGAATTTTTCTTTTTACTTGTGCTGTGCAATATTGCTACAAGTCAAATTTTATGATTCTAGCTCAACGGAAATACTCTATAGATTTTAATTCTCTTGCAAATGTCAAAATACACGCTATAAACTGTCATATTTTTTGTTTGCGTTGACTTAGAAGTTTGATGTTTTTCAAAAGTACAAAGAGAAAGAGAGTTTCAAAGGATTGTAGAATTGAGTATTTAATATTAATTTCAGCTTGATATTCTTCTAGATATTCCTGAGAAAAAGTGTCTTGATAGATGGAGATGAGAACAGACAGATGGATAATAAAGGCTTATGTTTTTCCTTTTGGGGTACAGAGCTCTAATAATTAAAACAAAACTTTTATAGTTTCGTTCCAAATTTATTTACCTAATCTTAAAGAGTTTATAGAGATATTGAGATATTGAGAGAGTTATTACAATAATATATTTTAAAATATTTTCGATATTTTCAATGAGAGTAAAAGTAAATTGTTTTATATAAAATATTCGCTACATCAGCCGTCTAGTGTCTACTGTTAAACATAGGCCTCTCGCAGTTAGGTTTCGGTGATGTTTGAAAAGAGACGCTGCTGCCTATCCTTCAACCATTATGTTCCTTTAGTCTCCTCTTTCAACACCCACGGGAAAAGAAGAGGTGACCTATTCTATGCCAGATCACACGGCAAAATATAATATTAAACAGATAAAATCATAGTATCGTAGCCCTTAGGAATATACTGTAATGTACATGGTACTAATCATGTCTTCGTACGATTGCAACGGTTGCAATTTTTTATTAGGCGGGCTTTCAGTTTGTTTCACATTTTAAATATCATAAAAAAAAATTGATCCAGTCGTCTGGCAGTTTGGATAGGCGTATAGAGGTTCGAATTTAGTTTTTTTCTTATAGCACCTCTCTTTTAGAGAAGGCAGGCTATCATCATTGAATTTGTTATTATTTCGCGCTGCTGTACACGTGATGCTCAGCCACGCTCGAATGTTGCTGAGCCATGATTTTTCTTCACAATTTTGCTCTTTATTATCACATGAAGAAGTTAACGTTTTTTTATTATTAAAAGTTTCGTAAGTACACATTATATTTTAATGTAAGAGCAATGGATTGACTTATATGTATTTTTGTCGAGAACGCTCGACTAGTTTCAGGACCATGTCGGGCCCCTAAATATGAGCGGTCATGTTAAAACTTTTGTCATCTTTAAGTAGTCGTACATGGACAAAATGCGTAGTTTTCCATTTTTATTATTATATAAACATTACCTTAAGCTTGTGCTTAGTTTTTCAAAATGTTTTTACATTGGTAACTTTTTGTGTCCAACATTGTCTGTATGTTCCCATTTCAAATGATATTACATGTTTTTCATGTCTTTTTTAATACTTCTCGATTCACGTTTGTATAAATTGTAAGTGATTATTAATTAATCTTGAAACTCATAAAATTACAATAAGACATAGAAAGGTGTATTTTGTAAGAATGAGATGGCGCAATTGATTTGCTGATTTTGTTCCTGTAGGTGCCACATTTTGTTCGAAGGATATTATATTAAATTATTTAAATTTAAATAGAAATAATATATATAATATTGTCTGATATCAGATACCGTTCTCCAAAATCAAGAACTCAACCACTTAAAATCTATAAACAGTTAATAGAGCGCACCAGTGTTGATTGGGGTGTCACAAATTCTCAATATTTAGTATTCACCGGCTTTCATTTATAAATTGGAACGTTGTACAATCTACGAATTCAATTAACTAATTAAATAACTCGACGACATAATAGCTACCAAAGTAACGTCGATATAAGTTGTACGAAAATACACTTATTGCGGAATTCCTTTCTAAATAAATGGAAACCCTTTTTAAGTGAAATAGCTTAAGTTCTACGATCGTAAAAATCCGTCAGCATTCTCAAGAAAGCTGTAGCCGCAACTATGCGATCGGTTTCTGCTTCTACTGCCACGATTCGTATTTGTTTTTCTTTTTTCAAACCAATTGTGTAAATACGCTATACAGCGTTGCTGGGCTGCCAATATTTTCAAACTACTTCAAAAACAAGGAGGTTCTCAATTCGTTTGTAGTTTTTATGTTTGTTAATTCATAATTTCATTATTTGTAAATCGATTAAAACAGTATTTGAAAGGATATACTTACAGATCGTTCCAATATAAATTTTATCAAAATTGGCTTAGTAGTTTAGTTTTTAAACCAGAATAATTGGTTTTGACATAATCGAATTCTTTTTGTTGCTGACCATCGATAGAAATGTCATACAGAATAATGTGAGGGAGAACAAAAAGTATTTAATACTATGTGGAGTATTATACTGCAAATTTCTCTGTTCCAAATTAATATTTCATAAAGGATTTAGACTATAAATCTATCCCACAGAAAAACTCGCAGACACAAAGGGAATAACAGATTATACACTCTCTCGTTTCATTCAGGCGTTTACTATTTGGCAGGGGAGGTCAATCGAGTAACGTAATATTTTCTAACATTATTATAGATACTTTGATCAATTTATAAAAAAACTTTCTAAGAGCGCACAGTTTGTTAGACATATATTGGTTATTGCTGAGTATAAGCGTTCAGCATTATAGTAGCAACGGTGCAAGTTACATAATTATGAATTTTTTTTACGAGTAATATTTAATATATATCAACAATTTATAAAATTTTCAAGGTGTCCTAAAAAAAATTTTAATATTTCATAAATATGTCTCTACAAATCTCATTACAGCATCGGTTTGATTTTATGAATAGTAAGTAATGCATTACCAGGATTTTGTGCCTTTAATATTAATCAATAATCAATATTGAAATACAATTAACAAAATAGGAAAAAAAAATTAAAGATAAACAATACTGATATTGTAAACGCCTAATGAACACTTTTAAAATGTACTGTAGCGCAGCGAATTATATTGATTCTTTCTGTATGTTCAAATAATGACTAAATTATTAGAGTGATTTTGATGACAGAGAAACCGACATTAACACTTGAAACTAGATTTTTTTTTAACGTAATGATATATATGTTAAATAGCTTGGGTACATGAGAGATCAGGAGCTAGTTTGTAATAATAAATTATGTACACCTTGGAACTAATCTCTAAGTAGGTACATGGATATATAATCTCGGTGTACCCAAGAATATATTAGTAAGTACATAATGAGCGTGGTACGTAATTTTCGACGAGATAACATTCAGTGTAACCCAGTATTTATATATCACTAATCTTTACTTACGAGTATATTACTAATATTGTTAGAGTTAAGCTTGCCTTTGTACATATGCTTATATCTGTCATATTTGTTATGTATTACTAGTGTGTGCAATAATGTATAAATAAAATAAATAAATTATAAATGTAAAAGTCAGTTTGTTTGTTACCTTATCGCGCCTTAACGGCTCAATCAATTACGGTTATATGGACTAGTCTTTTTTTTTTTGTGCTGTGTATTGTATTTGGGTGCCCAAGCGCTTTTGCGCTTTTGGTGTACGCTTGCATATACCAAGGTTTGCAGCTAGTAGACTTATAATATGGATGAAGGATTTGGGCTTCAACATTCAGTGGGTGCTGAGAGCATGACTTTTAAGATGACCTTTCTGATGCGGATTGATGGACGATGAGTTATGTTGAGTTTTGCGATTTACAGGTTGACAGTTGATGGAGTCGATAGAAAATTTTGGAGAAGATTTGAGAGTTTATGAAAAAGGTGAGTATTGTATATATATATATTTATATAGTTTTATATGTACATCTATTTATTTTATATGTATAGTATAAAGATATATATATTTGCATATACGTAAATAAATATGTTATATGGACCAGTTATAGATTATACCTATATATAAACATTCATATATCACTTGTCTAGTATTAATTGTGCAAGCTCTGTTTAATTTGGGTCGTGAATTGATGGCCTTATGTAATATACTCAGTGGTATTTCTTTATTTACTACCTACATTCCGCGGTTTTAAACGCGTGAACCAGTAAGTTCATAAAGTATCCTACCTGCTAAGTTAGGATTATAACCTACTCGTGCATCAAATTTCATTCAAATCCGTTTAGTAGTTTTTGCGTAAAAGAGTAATAAACATCCATCCATCGTTACAAACTTTTGCATTTAAAATATTAATAGGATTTATTTATAAGTTCTATATTACACTTGTAAATTATTTCGGTTTGTTCAATTGTCTATTCGTCGGAAAAAAATAAACAATCTC